ATAATAATAATAATAATAATGAGACTAAAAACTGACAGCACAACTCAGAGATATTTACTCTGCACTTCACCAAATCCTCTTTGGTGTCTTTTAGAAGAAATTTTAAGTTTTTAAAAGAGTTAGATTAATGAAAGATATGAAAAACAAAGAATAAAATAAACGTTTATACGCCACCAAAGTAAAAAATCATCATAAAACAAGTGAAAAAAGACAAAAAACACCAAGAAAAAAAGGAAGTTGTCCAAAGATCGACCCTTGTGGGACGCCACATATCAGGACAGTTTGAGCTGCCAGTATCTGTGATAAAATATCTGTCCTGCAGTCAGGAGTGAATATCTTACTCTACTTTTATTTGTTTAAGTTTTACATTGTTTCATTTTTTTAACTATTATCTTTTTGTCTTGAGTTTTGACATTTTTATCTCATTGTTGGTGTTTTCTTGTTGAGAGATTACATCTCTATTACCTCGGTTTCTTTATCCCTTACTTTAAGTTTAATTGAGTCTTTTAAAAATCTATATCTCGGTCCTTTGTTGTTGTTGTTTGGGTTTTATGAGGGTTTTGATTGCATTAATTCATTTTCTGTTGGTCTCAAGTGCGACACTATGAAGCCTGATTGATTGATTGAAGCGTTGTGATTGAAACGTCAATCAAAGCGTCTGAGATGAGCGCTGATGTGACGTTTTGTCTCTCACTTCATTTATATCTTAATTAGCAGCTCTCTCTCACACACACAGACACAGACAGACAGAGAGAGACAAAACCCTGAACCGCAGACTCTCATTGAGCATCAGATTTTAAAATAGAGGTGTGATAGCTCTGCTCGCAGATAACTCGTGACCTGAACCGCACAGACACTTCTCCTGCAAAAACACCCAGAGAGGGCACGCTCGCCTCCTTGTATTCAAATAGAGAAGAGACAGAAAAGCTTTCTTTGAACATGGTTGTATAACCTCTCAGGGTGCAATTGCAGTAATTTATGTGTTGACACAGAGCTGGTAATGGAACCATAATTGAAAAGTGGAGGAGAGCTGCTGCTCCGTAGATAATGTTTGAGAGTGTGTCTGTCTATAATCGAGAAAAACGGACACCTCCGAGTAACAGCAGGCAGAAAGATTTCACAGTCTGATAAAAGTGGGCTGTTTATGTTCACACTACTGTTCTCTATACCGCATTGTTTGCTCCTGCTATTAAATGGTGCAATCATGCAAGCCTATGCATACAAATAACAAATGTAATAGCAAGTCCACCATTTATCCTTGGCCTCCGTGGAGGAATAAAGCCGAATATACGAACACAGGCACGCTAAAGAAAGAGCATAAATCTTTGGAGGGCTGAATTTACCTCCAAGCCGATGTAAACATTCTGCTTTTCTTCAGGGAGAAGGTCTTCAGCCATTGTTAGGTGCCGGAGTTGCAGTAAACACCTTCAGTTAATAGCCTGATGTTGTTGGTTTTTTTTTTTTCAGGTGATTTCAGTTGAAAGTTTGTTAAAGAAAGTTTCTACAGGAGGAATGAAGGCGTTGATTTCTTTCCACACTTCAGCCGAACAGAAGGAGTGGTTATTGTTAAACACGTCTTTTTCAAAAAAGTTGATAAATGAGTCAGCGGCGGCGGTGACAGCTGAGTTATTTTGATTTATTTGCACTCTTTTAAAATCTACATGTCCCTCATCTGTTCGGCATGACAGCTCATGAGAAAATATATTGAAGAACATAACGTCAGGAGCCGCTTTGTGATTTATTTCCACCCAAAAACCTGCAGAGACCATCTGTTTTCGGCACAAAACGGAGGATGTTTAAGGTTATAAAACAGGAGATCAAAAATAAACGCTCTATAAGGGGAACGTTTCGGCTTAAATACGGCGGTCCGAGAACAGAGGGCTCTCTGAAGTCAAGCTTTCATCATAAGATCAAGTGACCCGTCAACACGTATGCCTCTGTGTGATGCCTTGTGCCGGCTGCAGCCACGGAAAACAGAGCGCTGTGTGCCGTGAGGGGGCATCCATAGTGTTAGCCCGTGTATGTGCACAATGTGCCTGAGTGTCCATGGCGACAGAGATCATGGTAAACAGAGCGAGAAACGATCACAAACACCACAGACGGGGTTTTTGTGCCCAGGGTCAGAGCACAGAAAACAACAGCACTGAATTAAAATCGACTCATTGTTTGTCCCAGAGCTCCAGCATCAACAGTTTCCCCCCTTCGCTGTGATTCACCGCCCGGACCAGAAGCCTCTGTTTGTTTACTACTGTTCTGTCATGGAACAACTGTTCCACCTTGACTTTATGCAACAACAGCTTTGTAAGCAATCCAATTTAAAGGAACAGTTCCCCCCACAATAACACCACAGATAAATAAACCCGTCTTCTTTTTTACACCGTGAACTTTGATTTCAGCCACCTCTGAAACCCGAGCTAAATCCTCAATTCGGTGGTGGCTGATAGAAAAATAACATCTGAAGGGCCCTCTAGCAGGAAACACATTACCTTTCCTGTTTGTCCGGATCATCAGAGACCGTTTCTTTGATAGGACGCGTGAAATGTGCAGAGAAAACACAGACCATCAAGATCTTAAGAACAGTGTGTGTGATCGTTTCTCTCAGATAAGTCTGAAACAAAATAAAAACGTTCATTTCTTGGCTTTATAAGTACCAGCAGGATCATTTTTATTGAGTTTAATTGACTGTGTTTTAGTAAAATTGATTGATTAAAATTAAAGGCAGTAGACTTGGTAACTTTGCCTAGTGTAAAGTAGTGGCCACTTGATTTTTTTGGCGCCATCTTCTGGGTAAAGTTCCCCTCTCTGCATTAACTCTTCGCTTACCCTCGATGGGAGGAAGCTACAACAGCGAATATCTAGCACTGTTTCCCCTACATTCAGCGGCATAAATTATGTGCACCACGACTGAAATTTCACATGATCATTAACATCTACAACAACACTCTTATTTTGAGTCATCAACGAGTGCATCAAATCCTATCTGACCCTTTTCCATTAATGTGAAGGGTTAAGTTCAAGCTTATACACAGTCCAGATAGCGAGTAGCTAGATAGCAGGTAAGGTAATGTAACATAATGTGAACGTAACAGCTTAGCGCCACTGCTGAAATAAATTCCAGGGGAAACACTGTCTAGATCCTCATTTTTGTAAATCGGACAAAACCGCAAATGAGAAATAGTTTGATTTACTTGACTTAATTTATGTTTCGCCTCCAGGAATTAAAGCTAAAATAATTCATGGTATGCTGAGGTAACAAAGGAGCACAGACAATGCAAAAATCCGCTTAAGTGTTAGTCCAGGCAGGCCATGAAGTTAAGCCCAGCCCACATTTGCAACATCAGCTGATCCTCACGCTATGAACTAATGGTGTTTACATGCACTTCAGTTGTCCGGTCTTTATCAGAATAAGGCAATAATTCGCTTTTCTCGAGTGTCATGTAAACGTACTGACTGATGCTCACTCTGTTCTGTACCCTGAAGGTCTTTGCTGCTGCTCTGCCTGCCTCGGCTTTGCCCCTCCACGTACACATGTGGAAGGACAGGGAGCTCTCAGATTAAAGCGTCATGAAAATAATAAAAATAAAACTCTCTGAACATATTTCTGGAGTCTGGAGCGACTTACAGAATATTCATTATGAAGAGTTTGCTTATGAAACACGCTGACCAAAGTGTCACACAGAAAAGCAAAAATCAATTTTTAATGATTTTTCTATCATCCATATTTGTGATCTACTTTGACAGTTGATAATAAGATCATTTCACTGCAACATGGTTTTATAGAAACCGGTTTGAGGACAGGTGGGACTTTCTTCGTACTTACATCCTGCTGTTTGAAATCTGATAATATCTGAGGAAAGTGACACTGGGGGTTTTTAGCAGCAGGATGTTGAAGTCAGGGTCCTCTCAGGCTGATGTGTTGTATATATGACCACATTAGAAAAAGAAAAAAAGCAGGGCTGCACACGGAGAGGAGAAGAGACGGTGTGTTGTTGAAATGAATCTGTTCCAGCTTGTTTTCTCTGCATGTGTGGACACTTGAATGTCTCTAATGTTTAAAGTATTGCATATAAACGAACTCAATGGCCTTATAAGCCCAGAGGACACTTGAGGTCGTATCCCACCTTTGAGTGGCCCTCATCTCTTTTCAAGCAGCTATAGAAGTGTCTTGATGGCCTGTGTTTTGGCTTCTGAGCTCCTCTGCATACTAATGTTGCTGTTTGATAGAACGTACAGCCTCCAGATTCCCTCTGCTCTCACCTTTCTTCCTCTGCCAAGCGGGGCGCCATCTAATACATGGGCTGAGTGCTGGGGTGTCTGAATGAGGAGAGAGAGGGGCACGATAAGCGACCGTCAAGAGGATCCGTGAAATTCATGCGCATCTATGTGAGTGTTTATGAGCGTGGAGGCATGTCCAAGACCGGTTTTCCTCTGCAATGCGTCAGGATCCCACATGCAAACCGAGCTCCTGGCAGCGCTTTCAAGGCCTGTATGTGCCTCAAACACATGCCAGCCATTCTGCCAGAGAAGCTGGCACCGATCTGAGGAAAATTCAGAATATTTCTCGGTCCATACGAGTGTGAGAGTGAGAGACACAGAGAGTGTTGGCTGGGTAGTGGGAGCCTATAGGGAGATAACTTCACTCTGAAGCTGTGTTGAGCCCACAAGGGAAAACACACACTCACATATAGAGCTGCATCTTGGAAAACATACAGAAAGTTCTCCATGAGAAGCTTCTCCAGGCCTGTATGTGCCTCAAACACATGCCAGCCATTCTGCCAGAGAAGCTGGCACCGATCTGAGGAAAATTCAGAATATTTCTCGGTCCATACGAGTGTGAGAGTGAGAGACTTAAAGCTGAGCTGAGATCTGTGTGAGGCTGAGTAAAGAAGAAGTGGGAGCCTATAGGGAGATAACTTCACTCTGAAGCTGTGTTGAGCCCACAAGGGAAAACACACACTCACATATAGAGCTGCATCTTGGAAAACATACATGACTCCTACTGCTCTTCCTCCTATTCTTCTCTCCTTCTCTCTGTTCCTCCTCCTGCTCCTCTCTTCTCCTCTCCCCTCCTTCTCTCCCCTCTTCCTCCTTCTCTCCCTGCTCTCTTCTTTTCTCCTCCTGCTCCATTCACTGCTCTCCTCTCTCCTTCTCCTCCTCCTCTTCCTGCTCTCATCTCTCCCTGCTCCCCTTCCTCCTTCTCCTCTCTCCTTCCCCTGTTCCTCCCCCTGCTCTCTTCTCTCCTTCTCCTCCTCTCTCCTTGTCCTCTCCCTGTTCATCTCTTCCTTTCCCTGCTCCCCCCTTTCCTCCTTCTGCTCCTCTCCACTCTCCTCCTCTTCTCTCCTCTCCCTGCTCTCCTCTCTCCATCCCCACCTTCATGACAGTTTGTTCTGTGTGTAGCATGTTTAAGATAAAGAATGAATGCTGCTTCCTGCATGAATGAATGAGATAAAGTTGAATGAATGATCCGTCACTTTAATTCTGAGAAGTGAACTGTAAATACATTTTAAAATTAACTGATTTAGAAGAAGCCCTGATTTGATATTTTTAACATCAAAACTTCTAAAAACTAAGAGACATTTGACCGTCCCAAAAACTAGCAGGATGATATTTTTGTCAGAGGAGAGGACAAGATAAGAAAAGACTGATGTGTCCACAGGGGGGCGCCAAAACTCACTCACAGGAGCTTTAAACACATGGAGCTGAAGTGAAGCAGTCTGGATCAAGATTTAAATTTATGTTTTCAGAGTGGAAGTGCTGGACGAACTCAAACTAGGGCAAGAAGAAGAAGAAGAAGAAGAAGCTGCTGGTTTAATTCTCTGAAGTAATCAGGATTAATCATCCAAGAATCAACCAGCAGCCTGACAGCACCTCCCTGGAGCCGTGCAGTTCAGCACAGCTAAAATGTTAAAGGTTAAACTCTGCTCATGCTGCTAAACGCCTTGACACAAACAATTCAAGACTTCTCCATGTGGCTGTGAATCCCAAAGAGAAATAAGAGAGAGAGAGAGCAGCTTCATGACGATTCAGAGACGGGTTTTCAGTTTAATCGTCAGTGAGCATCCTCGGGCAAAAGTGTCCGACTTCTGTACGATGATTTTCTGTTTTACTGCTCAGTCATTATCGATTATAAAAGATTCATCCGTCTTCTGTCAGCCAAATATGTGAAACTGTTTACTTTAAGATCCTCAAATGTGGGCCTACGCTGCTGTCCTCTGCAGATATTTGATTTTAAAATGAACTTATTTAGACTTTGGAGCAAAAGGTTAGACAAAAGTCCAGTTTAAGGTAGGGCTGCATGATTGTGGCCTAAAATAAAATCCAGATTTTTCAAAACTCGATTTTTTTCAATTTTTTATTCAGTGACAACTTATTCAAACTTCACTCTAAAAATAAAAAGTTTTTCAATCATCTCTGACATAACAAAACCACTAAAAATGATGTTGTGCATATGCCAAGCCAGTAAGTGGCGCTGTAACGCTACACAGGAAATGCACAAAAGACAGAAGAAGAGTACAGAGCATGCGTATAAAGGTTGCTTTGGTCAGACACGCACAGGCGCCATAAAAGAGTTACGCTGTGTGTCACATGATCGTTTCCAGAGATGCGAATAGACATCCACACAGATGAAATGGTCGTCGTTTACAGATTTATGCAACTCTCCCTGGAAACGAGTCCGATTGACAACCGGCTACACGGACCGAGCTCATGCTCCTTTGGTAAAGGGATCGGACGGCCCTTAATAAGGAACCATCCACCCCATACTCTTGGAGCACCCCCCACAGGACTCCCCTACCAAAATGGTCTGGCCTAAAATCGTTTAAAATAAGACCATGAGTCGGCAGTCTATCGTTCTCCACAGACCTGCACGGTTCAGCTTTGGTGTCTTCTCACCGACGTCTCATCAAACCTCTGAACTGTCCCTTTAATTCAACCATCAGCCCTCTCAGCTTTAAACCAACATTTGGAGAAACAATATAATGACCTGGAACATCTTAATAACTCTCCAGAACCAAACACGCTCACTATCGAACACGCTGGAAGTTTGCAGAAACAGCCAGCGAGTCGTACAGCCTGTTTAAGCCCCCTGCTCTCCACGGTGACTGTTTACTATTTACATATTCATAACACATATGGTACACAGAGACACGCATGCCCCGTTTCCACACACACACAAAGAGTGAATGTAAATCACTCATCATTTTCACTCCGACTGTACTAAAAACAAGGTCGCTGGCTGCGCACATTCGACGGCTCTGAGGATCAAAGCGCCGCGGCACCAGAGCCGCTTGGAGACCGTCGCTGCAGGTGCAGAGGATTTACCACAGCGAGGAGGCCGATAAGTCCTGCTCAATATTCATGGTGAAGGAGAACAAAATGAGTACATGTCCTCCAAAAAAGACTTCCTGCCACCATCTTCTCAGCAGCTGGGAAATGAATCAGAGAAATCCTCCCATTTTAGGGCTAAGCCGCCCCGCTCTGGTGTTTATGCACCGCAGGCCGACCAGATCAGTGCAGCGGGGAATCTGTTTGATTCTTAATATGTTTGTCTTTATGACGTGACTGAAAAAACTCGAAAAGACTCAGAGGGATAACTTTTGGTCATAGTGATGGCTTCGCTTTAGGGAAACAGGTACAATGAGAGTCAGGGCCTTTAAACTTTAGATTATATTATTAAAGTTATGAATATATGAGGAAAATGTCATGATGTTGGTCTCTGGTTCAGTTTGAGGGTGAGTTTTATTTTGAAGGGACGGATCAGAGGAGCGGTCTGCAGCCACCTGAACTAAAGGAGGAATGTGAACCATCTCATGACGTTAGACTTTAATAAAAGTTTCATAAGAATCAGGATCCTAGTTTGACTCAGGAGTCAGATAGAGCCTCAAAGTGGATATTTTGTAAAACACAGAGTTGATTTTTATATTTTTTTTATCAGGACATCTGCAGGAGTGCATCCACAATGACTGTCAACATGGTGTGCAGTTATTCCATCATTTTACTGGAACTCCTGAAAAATGAAAATGTCCTGAGGTGGCCTCCTTCTTCAAATATTGTAAATATACCGTATGTTATCTCTACTTTCTGACCTTGCATCTTTTTACAGGTTTGTGGTGGATGATGATGATGATGTGGTTCATGCTGCAGACAGAAAATCACTGCAGCAGGAGGTTCAATCAGTGCAGAGGATCAGCAGCAGCAGCAGCAGCAGCCTGCCCACCATCAGTGACATTTACACCAGCAGGTGCAGGAATACGGCCTCCTGTATCATCACAGACCCCACCCACCCGCCATGCAAACAGACTGTTTTGCTCCCCCCTCCCCTCAGGCAGGAAGCTGCACAGCATCCGAGCCAGAAGCACCAGCAGGCTTCGAAACAGTCTCCTTTCTTCACTCTAATGAAATAAAAGGAGTCTTGATGTAAAAATACTCAGCAGCAGCAGATCTGAGTCCTGGTTTGTGGAGTCCAAGTACAATATGTCCTCAGAGCTCTGCTAAAGTACATTAAGAAGAACATGTACTTCTCTTATCCTGGAGTAGAAGTGAAAAGTGATTTACAGAGGATATGTTGCTTTTAATAACAGCGCGAATTGGCAGGACTTGAGTGGAAACAGATGTTCCCCCGACAGGAGGTACACAGCCAGAATTATTTCCATCAAATGTTTCCTTATTTTTGATGTAGCTGCTCTGGGAGAAAACAGTTTCCTTCAAAACTTTAAGAAATTTGAGCTTAAAAGACAAATAGAGGCCGGAAATGTACAAACAGGATCCTGTGGAGACGTACTTCAGGAGAGATGTCAGAGTGAAGGGGGTCCACGTGGACGGGATCGGAGTTTGGTAGTTCTTGGAGGTTGATGGTCATGGTGCGTTCCAGTTGTACTCAGACGTCAGGATTTTCAGACGATCCCTCCAACCCCCAAGTTGACATTTAAAGATGGTAGAAGTTCCTGTAATGAAAAAAAAATAGGCTACCTTCTGCGCCTTTGTGTTTCCTCTTCATCCGCCGTGTTTGCAGGTTACAGAGGGACCACATATTTGTCCAAAAGTCGTTTATATTCCGACAAGGCAAATGTGAGAATAACTTTCGTAGGTGTAGCCATCTTGTCTCCACTTCCATTTTTGGAGGTTGGTGACTTTTTTCCGACTTTGTGACTCTGAAAGGCTGATAACTCGGGTGTGACGTCATTTCTAGCTCTGACTTCCAAGGTTAATGGAGAAGGTACCGGTCCAACCTTCATGCTTTGGGTCCAAACTGGGACTTGAACCAGACATCCTCAAGTTACTGAAGTCCCTGCAGGCTGAGCTGCTGCAACATGGACTTTTTGATGAAGTTATTCCAGCAAAACATTTTCAGTGTTAATTTGATATATTCCTGGTTAATGCGGCACTTTTCAGGAGTTCCAGTTTGGCTGTTTTCTCTGTTTTTGTGAATCTGTCGTTACCTTCTTGATTTCTTTTCAGTCTCAGCTCTGATTCCCTGAAACAGTCAGAGTTCGAGATGCGGTAACATACTGACATCTACCAGGATTGCCACCACGTCCGCTAACAGCAGCAATTTTTTGCCGTCTGTCAATTCCTATCGGATATGTTTGTGAGACGAATTTCGTGGTGGATTACGGACAGCAGATTCACGTGCAATCGCGCGATAACCAGTTGTCTCTAGCCAGAGAGGCTAACCACATAAGCAGTAGATTAAGGAAATCTACTTCTAGACTTCTAGAATCAGCATCTCCTCATCCATGGTGTCATCGAGGTGAAGGTGTTCGTCGCCTTCTGTTTGCATGGTGTGAAATACGATCCTCCTGAAACACGGAGTGTTTTATTTTGAAAAGAAGACGGATGTTTTATTTTGTGTCTGTGCCCGACTTCCTTTACAGCACGGGTTAATCTGTGCCGAATCCGCAGGTTTCCGCAGCTGAACGGAAAGAAGCAGGTGGAAATTGGGGGTCAAACTGCTGTTCTTTACCTGTGCGCTTCATTACCAGGTGATAACTCAACATCATACTTATATTTCATTTCAGTCTGACACACCATCTTAGCCATCTTAGAGTCTTTAGATCGAGATGTGACATCCAAGAGCGCCATGGTGGTTTTTATTTTCCATCATGGCGACAGATGTTGCAACACTTTTTGCATTTATTTTGTACAATTATCTTTGTCATTAACCCTCTAAGTAAAGTTAGGCAACATCAATCCTGAAGAAAAGTCTGGAGCCGATTGAAAAACCAAAATAAAAACATATCAAATGAGAAAATTGTAATTTAAAGTCTATCAAGGTCGAACAATGATGTGTATTCGCAGTCTTATTTCATCCTGAGAGAATCTCAGAAAAGCGTCTCCTCCGAACAGGACTAAAATTCCTTTAATCCCTCTCTTTACAAACAAAATGACACGAATGCTACGACAAAAATCACCTCATTTCTCCGAGAAAGTCTGAGGTCACAACAAATGGATGGAGCTGTTGTGTTACTCTGATGGCTGACACTCACTCACACAGGGCTCACCCAGCCTTTGTGTTGAGGATAATGGGAGATGTGCCGGCTCGGTGATTGCTGAGGACCTGCGAGTCGGACATAAAAGAGCCCTGGGAGAGATGGCTTAGTATATACTGGAGTGGCCCTGATTGAAAAGTGTTTTTCTGCGGCTGAAGGCGTCATTCGCCACGTAGCGGAGAGAACAATGCATCCATCAATGCTGACAGCTGACAAGGCATTCGCAAAATTACACTACAGGTAAGGTTACTGCAGTCTAGACGAGTAAGATCTAATCAGGAGTAAAGACAAAAACACGCCCGCCGCTCTGCTTTGGTTTCACGTGAAGTGAAAATGTCCTGACCACAGATTTCCTCAAGTTTAAAAAGATTATAAACCACACCTGCCAAATGCATCCCGATAAAAGATCACGTCATCATGTCCTGATGAAACAGCCCGGGTTCGAGTCTGGAAATTCACTCAGAGGATGTTTTTCAGAGCTTCAACTTTATATTAAGGTTTAATTAAAGATCATTTTGACAGCGCAGACCGCGGAGGGAACAGAGCTGAGAAAATCGACACTGTGTGAAAGCTACCGCGCTGAATAAGCAAACTTTCCGTCCTGTTAGCGCCGATGATTGGAGAGGCGTCAGCGGGCCGACTAGTTCAGTCTGTTTGTGGGGCGGAAGTTTTTATTGGTGTTGTAATATCAGACTGCTGTGTTTGATGTCGGGAAGTGAGACGATCAACACAGAGCGCCAAGACATGACATCTGGGCTCGGTCCAAATTTAAGGGTCTCATCCTTTAAAGGACTCGGTCTACATAGACTTACTGAACTGAAGCGCATGAATGAGAGGAGCAAACAAGATCACCAGGACGTTGACCTCTTCTGAGGAACTTTGGGATTACTTTGTTGAAATTGTGTTTCCATGGCAACAGCCGTGCAGGCTAGTCAGGCTGAACCATGTCCAAAAAAGAAAAGCTCTTCTTATTCCTCACCAGGGAATCAGGGTCACAAAATTCCGGGAATTTTCAAAGTTGGAAACTTTCCATGGTTATTAACAGGAATCTGAAATTTACAAAATTGGGGAAAATATATTGTAGAATAATCTTGGCGAAAACAACCAGATTTAATGGAAGTGCACTCCTCAATCACAAGGACAGATGATTTCTTGAACCCTGGAGGCCAAAACATTTGAGCCCAAAACAAGAGATTTGAGCGTATGGACTACATAAAGTCAAATAAGTTTGGATAATATTATGGGGTAAATCTATTTGATCTATAATAGTCTTAATATTTAACGTGTGAGAATTAAATAAAAATAGGTGCTAAATGTAAGCTATTGACTATTTAAGGGGCGAGCTTATTATGGTGGTGGTTGCGACCTCAAATGTGATTCTCTGTCTTCTGACTCCTGCAATACGGTTTTCTGAAACTAAACAATAATTTATAGACATCAATTGTCAAATATTTCGAAGACCATTCCAGTTGTTTAGCCAACTATATTTCTGTTAATGTCATTGCAAAAGTGTTTTATAACCTTTTTTGATATTTTATCCTACTGAAAAATATCACTTTCACCATCTGATGTGTGGAAGCATTTCACACAAGCTAATGTTGAAGGAAAATAATTTACATTTATGTTTGGATATGATAGAGTTTGTTTACATTACCCAAATCTCGAGTTAACGCCCATAAATTCCCATAATTCCCATGAAAAGTTTCCAATTTGGAATATTTCCAAAATTGCCAAGCTGAACTTCCTCATGGAAAGTTTCTGGAAATTTACCAGAAATTTACCGCCCCTTTGCAACCCCACCCACAAACAACAAACCCCGCCCATCTGTCTCTTACATGCAAACCAAGAGTGCCACAGCGTCACATCGCACCTGCACACCTCAAGACGGACAATCTTTTTTGAGCACATTACAGTCACGTCATTACTTAAGTTTTTGACAGCCAAGCATCCTTGGTCTGTTTCTGTCCTCCTCCACAGGACACTGTGTTCCTACTGTACTCTGGTCCTCCTCCTATCAGGTGCCACCAGGAAGGACTCGCCTTCGAGGCTCTTCGTGTGCACGTCAGCTGGCCTGGCATGCACACTTCAGCCTTTTCATCCGTGTTTGCATTGTGGGGTAAGCTCAGTCTCTTTTTTAAAAACACAAAGCAGAGATGTTTCTGCCTTTCAAGAGGCCGCTCTTGTGTAAATAAATCCTAAAATGAGAGTTTGGGATCTACTGTAACTGCTCTGAAATCCTAAAACACAAATCACGCCTAAAAGAAAATCCCAGGGAGGAAAAAAAATCAGAGAGGAGACGTGATGCAACAGAGACTGTGATCCCACTTCAAACTCACGACACATCCAGGGGCCGTATTAGCAAACTTTGCCCACTCATCCCCTCCTCTTTGCCTTCAATCGCTCTGCCGTTCGCGTAGCCCCGAAACGCATTAGATGCCTTATCATGTCGCATGCCTGGAAGCGGAGCTGTCATAAACCACATCTATGACCTGAATCCAAAGCAAACACAGCCTCCGCCGCTCCATCGCTACGCCTGCCGTGCACCCATTTCTCCCCAGATGTCTCTTATTCCACACAAGCCTGAGAAAACACGACACTGAAAACAGAGGAGGAAAAGCTGGAGAGGTATGCGAGCAGGAAGAGTGTGAGCTCTAATTTCTCATGTGTGCCGCTGCCAAACCAAATGCCTTTGTTGTTGGGAAGTGCTCCCTTGTTTAGCTCTCAGCGTTTCCAACTGAGATTTCATTTATTATCATCAGATATACGATGTAATGAACACTTTGGGTAAAAATAAACACAGAGTAGGGTGGGTGCCAAGAACTCCACGCCACAGCGGCATGCGATCCTCAGTGGGATGATGATACACACTTATATTTATGCCCGTCAGAGAGTACACAGAGTGACTACAACAAAGCTAATGTGACTGATGAAGCCATACTTGATGCATTAGTTATTAAAGACTTCACAGCAGGTACACCAGGCATCACATTCAATATTAACCAGCTGAAATCACACCAAGGCTTTATTATTTTTAGTCTAATTTTAGAGGCTTTATAAAAGGAGAAACAGAGACGAATTTCAATTTTACTGTAATTTTTTTAAAATGACGCAACCTTAATTATGAGATAACAACATTTTCATTATTAAATCTGTTTTTATTAAAGAATTTTGTCTGGATGGCAGCATATGTTGCTTTATATCCTGATCATATAGTAATGATGGAGTCTTCAAAGAGGTGTAAGCTACCTGTGCCGTGGATCCACGATTTCCCCCCAAAAATGTCAATAATCAGGGTTTGACAGTGCAACCACTTCACTCGCATCTGCAACTAAAAATAGATGTGTGTGAATTGTAAAATATATTTAGGGTCACATGTGCGCATTAAAAAAAATCAGCCAAGGCAAAAAATGTTTTTTCATGTAAATACGGCGGTGAAGTTAGTTTTAGGTTGGATATTTGACGGACGTTCACTGAAGATCTACCGGTGTCTTCTCACCCTCCATAACCAGGAATAACAACAGCAGCGCGGTTAGTATCAAGCCCTGAATAATTCATTCTGCAGACAAAAGGACGATTTTTCACATATCACAGACTCACCCAGAATCACCATAAAACACTACCTGTGACTGCATCCTTGAATACAGGTGAAAACTGTACCATGCAAAACCAAAACCACATGATCTTGACTTCTCTGGGCCTGACCCTGTTTAAGCCGGACTGAGGTGAAGCTGAAAACAAACAGATATCGGCATTCTTCTCCAGATTTTATATTATTCTATAACCGTAGATGATTACTCGTCCAACATATTTGCAATCTTCAAAATCAACACCAACAAAAAAATCCTGTCTTGGTTAGAAAACATTTGTTTTGTAGCCTGTAAGACAATCTTCAAGACTGGATGACTGCTCTGGTAATGAACACACACCTTAAATCTGTTGTAAAGTAGTTTACTTAAACACCTTACTGTTGATCTTTTGGTAGAAACCACTCTAAAGCCCAAAGCTGCACTTTTTCTATCTGTTAGCGTTTTTCAGGTGGTCTTTTGAGACCTCCAGACTTCACACTCTGACACCAAAATAAAGTTCAGTGACAGTTGTTTAATATCCCTTATATATTCATTACTAATATCTTAATTCACTACACCTCAGTTGTCTTTGTGGTGGACGATCACTGTGTCTCAAACACGCTTTAAGTTCCACTGTTATCAGTAAACAGCTCAGACGCAGTTAAAGGAAGTTGTACTTTCTTGATGTATAGAAACTCTATGAAATCATATCAGGAAAGAATACTATCCTCCCTGAGACTTTTAGATTTGGTGACTTTGAACTGTCCTCCGCAGTCTGCCCCAAGTGAGCGTTACCCCGAGAAATCAGGGATCAGCGCCTCGGAGCAGAAAGAGGGCTCAGTGTGTTAACAGGTCATGCCGGTACACAGTGTGACAGTCAGAGCCTGTTGTGCTTCATTCCCCTTTCTGCTCACTCAAGCGTTTGTCTTTGCTCTTGTGCTGACCTGCTGATCCAAAACCTGCAGCTCACTCTCCCTTTCCTTCACTCTCTCCCACTCACCATAAAATATGCTCCGTTTAAATTCCTGTAGGTTCAGACGTAGGATTACAGGTTTATGGAGAGATCCTGAGACAGGAAAGAGGATACAGGTAACAGCGAAAAAAACGAGCTTCAGAGGAGTCTATAGAAAAGTAAATAAGCAGGACCTTTATAGTCTGTCAGCCACTGCACGCAGCAATAATACTGTACATTCACCTTATTCATGCACTCATTAACACAGTGACTGCAACTGGGTCCATTAACTCATTCATTCACTGCCACTCACACATGGACGGAAATGCCTTTGGGAGCGATCTGGAGTCCAGTATCTCGCACTAGGATTCACATGAGGACTGCAGCAGCCAAGAGTCAAAGTGCTCTACGGATTTAATAACAGACAGAAAATGAAAGAGCGAGCTAGCCCCCGAGAAAGAACTGAACAGCAGCTCAGCTCACAGCCTGACGAAAGTGCTGGATTTTGGTATTTTAAAGGTTCAGGTGGGTTTGTAATTTTTTTATAAAGAGATATCTTTAAATATTTCGGCACCTGAAGTATGAGTGATTAGCAGCAGCTCAGCTCACAGCCCCCTCTGTACATGCTCATGAAAACATAGAAAAAGTACTGGTGTTGGATTTAAACTATTTTTAAGAAGTCATTTATGGATATGGGTTTGTTAATTTTTTAGGACGAGATTTGTTTGGATATTTTGGCACCTAAAGTATGAGTAATTAGCAGCAGCTCAGCTCACAGCCCCCTGTGTGTATACTAATGGAAAGTATAGAAAAGTACTGGTTTTTGAAATAACTGTTTTTAAGAAGTCATTTACAGGTTTGGGTTTTTTTTTATTTTTTCGGAGGAGATCTCTAGATATTTCAGCTACTGGTGAATAAGTGATTAGCAGCAGCAGCTCAGCTCACAGCCCCTCAGTGTATACTCATCTCAAAACAAAGAAAAGTACAATATTTGAGTGTTTTACAGGTTCTGGTTTGTTCATATTGTTACGAAAAGTTCTCTTTGGATATTTTGGATCTTGACAGATAAGTGATAAGCAACAGCAGCTCAGCTCACAGCCCCTCAATTTATGCTCATTGGAAAAAACAGTGAAAAGTACAGGATTTGAGTATTTTACAGGTTCGAATTTGTTCCTTTTTTTCATGAAGAGATCTCTGGATATTTCAGCAGCTGAAGGATGAATAATTAGCTCAGCAGCAGCTCAGCTCACAGCCCCTCGGTGTATGCTCATGGAAAACATAGAAAAGTACTGGTTTTTGAATATTAACTGTTTTGAAGAAGTCATTTACAGGTTCGGGTTTGCTCATTTTTTAGGAGGAGATCTCTATGGATGAGTGATTAGCAGCAGCTCAGCTCACAGCCCCTCCATGTATGCTCATGAAAAACATTGAAAAGTACTGGTTTTTAAATATTAACAGTTTTTTAGAAGTCAAGAGGAGATCTCTCTGGATGAGTGATTAGCAGCAGCTCAGCTCACAGCCCCTCCTGGACATTGAAGAACAGTGAATTTCTGCTTACTCTGCGTAAATAGTAAAGGATCAACACCTTTCTCGCTGTTGCTCCTGCAGAGTTCACGACTCTTAAAAACAAAAGTGCAGAGATGTGAAGGAAAAAATGCAGGTCGGCTCAGGATTTTTACCACTGATGAGTTATTGCTCTGAGGAGACAGCTCCAGACAAAATCCTTCTGTGTATATCACATTTTGGCCAACCCCTGAACCTCAGTCAGGATTTTTCCACTCTCTGTTTCCACTACAGAGGAATATATACGGTAAGCTGCTGATGTGTCTCTTTACCGGCGCTGCTGCAGACTCTTGGCACAGTTTAAGCCTCCATTGCACACTGTGTATAGCTGCGATTCTTGGCCAGTGCCCTAACCCTGGCTGCTGCATCCCCCTCCAATCATACCACTGAAATGCCAGGACGCCAAAGGAAAATAAAAAAAATACGTACATTTTTCCCCCCGCACATGCTGTAAATTCACCTCCCTACACACCTCTCCATTCGCCTCTTTCCTCACCGTTCCATCTCGCCTGCAATGCAGACATTTTGAAGCTGGTAGCATGCAGGCCTGCTGCTCTGGAGCAGATCCAGTAAGTGATTAGAAGAGGGACTGAGAGCATCCCTGTGGCTGACTGATGTGCAAGCAAAAACCATCTTCAAGAGCGAGAGAGGAAGAGAGTGAAAAACAGCGAGGAGGAAGGAAAGGGTGCAGGGTCAGGTATGAAGAAGAGGACAGTGAGGTGGATGGAGGGAGATTCCTAACGGGTTACGATGACTTCAAAAGCTCCTTATTTTGCATCCTGTTGTTTTCCAGTTTGGTTTTGGTGAGAGAGAACGACTCCGAGCTCTGCAGAAGCTCAGCTCATCTGCATGAGGTGCAAAATAAAAGCGTGTTGTGGTAATAAAGGTGCGTGTTTTGCTGAATAACAATGAAGTGTGTTTAAATGGAGTGTCTCTGATGCTGAGTGTGAAATATGGGAATATTGTTGACCCTCTCCGGAGTACATCTGTGCAGTGTTCATGCAGGAGGGAGGGTTTCTGGCTTGTTTGTATATAATGTATATATCCCTAAAATCAGCATAAATGGAGGAAGTTCTGCCAGAGAGTTCAGGAAGGAAACTCAAGCTGCTCTGTTTTCACATTTGCTCTCCCTCACTCTCATTTTTACCTCACAAATATGTCCTCCCAGTCATGCATCCCGTTTACGCTGCAAGATTTCTACGAAGAGTGATGAGGGTAGAGCCTAGACGCCAAACACAAACATGATCTGGACCTACAGAGTCTGAATATATCTTTAAGTTTGATGCATGAGACCCCAGAATTGATTGTGGACACGGGGCTCTCGGCCATCGCTGCAGGGGTTCTGTTTAAGATTCATACATGTGGGACCTTTAGCGGCACATTCTTGGCATTTTGTCGTAACGTTTCAAACCACCACATGATGAGGACGAAAGAAGTTTGGCTTTCCACTGCAAAAGAAACGAGCGATTATAATTATCATACGATCGAGATTTACATTCATAATAATCATGAAACTGATATTATCCAGATGTTTATGCAGGACCTGGAACAACACAATCAGTCAAATTGAGGAAAAGGAAACCAGGGGTGGAGCCAAAGAAGACTTCTTAACTTTTGTTTACTAAGGTTGTCTTGCTAGGCTTTTATTTTGAATTATTTTTATTTTATTTTGAAGTGCACTACTTCTGGTAGCGAAATTAAAATGATTAAGAAAATGTATAAATGTTCCATTGCTTTGTGAACTAAGATGTGCAAGCACAGACTGTATATACTATGGACAACTTGGCTCCGCCTTCCATCATTATTCAAATTTGAAGCTGAATTGCTCTCAGTATTTCCAGGATTTTCTCCACTTCCTGGAACCACCACTTGCACAGTATTGTGTACGTATTTGATGGGAGAGTCGCTGTGATAACACTTGTAAAAAAATTTAAAGTTTGTCCACAGCTCCATAGGGATTGCTGAAGGAGGCGGGATTTATGACCAATACTGCAGCCCGTTACCGGAGGGTGCTGTTCTTGGAGTGGCTTGACTTAACGCCAAGCAGACGGCGTCCATTATACATACAGGCTATGTGTGCAAGCTTTAACGTTGTTTTTGGATTTGCAATAAGTTTATAATAAGGGCCCGACCGATTTATTGGTGAGCTGATTAAATCAGCCAATTTTAGCCCATTTGAGACTAATCGGTAATCGGCCAAAACTCGCCGATTTAACGTGAGTTAAGATGTGGAGGCACCGATCGGCGACAGCATAGTTGAAAACGCTTTTCTTGTCCAAGTTTGATCAGTTGGTCTTCCTGTCGGCGTGAAGAGCAGTAGCCTACAGTATATCTACAGTGTACAGTATACTGTGCTACATAATTGCTTAAATAGCCGCTAAAGCTAGCTCACTAGCAGCTGCTTCTTCTTCTTCGTCTATCCTCTATTTTAACCACTCCAATGAACATACCATACATTCATATTTTACTGTGTTTGAAAGAGAGCTCTCATTAATACGAGTGTGATTGCCGCCAAGAGAAAAAACACATTCAAGGTCCCTGTCAAATAAACGTAATAATATGAAGTAAACAACACTAAACCTGTGTGTGTACTCCCTTTATGTCTGCACATCTGATACATGCCCTCATTAACTTTTATTACCAGCACAAAACATTATTGTATTATACCAAACAGCCAACTCAAACAGGATATTGTAAGGTTGTGAGTGCGAATTAAAAAATCTCAGGGTACTAAAAACAGCATGTTTACACACAAATATGAACATTAAATCAGAAACAGAACCAGCCAGGTTGCCTACGAGCTCCATAATGATACAGATACAGAAAAAAGGCAAAAATAGCGTTAACCCAGTGTTTTTGGATGCCCACCAAAGCATAAAAATCCTGTTTTCAGGGGAGCTCATGTCTCATTAAAGCACCCAGCTCTCCTATGTTTGCACCCTGCGGCTACCTGGTAAACAGTTTTTGGTGTCTGAGCGTGTTCTCTCAAATGAAAGGCAGGACTACACATGTTTTCTTTGTGCTGCTCGGAAAATGGACATTTGTATGCATGCTCACTGCTAGTGCCCTAAAATAACATCCTCCGCACACATCAAACACGAGAAACCTCCAAAACACTCACAAACACACCTGTAGGAAAAGCCAGCTGGTCAAGAATCAAAGACATTTTACTCCAAAGCTTCAACAGGAGAAAACTCTGACAATTGATTAAAACCTGCGCTGTGCTCCTCGTCCTCCACCTCCAATATCTGCTCCTCCTGAACAAAGCCCACTCTGATATTTGCAGCCACATTTTATTGGTTTTGCGGCTCTACAGGCTCTACAGCTGATTCCAGAGAGGCTACGTGAGACAATCAAAGCTTCACTTATCTGCAGCTCCAAACAGGAGCCCAGGTTTGGTGTTTTTTTTTTTTATTGCTTCATATCACAAGGTGACCCTCGTCAGATACCGGGGGCAGATTGTGCCTGTGAGGGAGTCTGAGGGTGTAAACAGGCTGAAGGAGCACAACGGGAGAAAAACTGGGAGATTATTTCAATTAATGGAGCTCTTTATTTTATTAAGACTCGGGTAGGAGAGAGCGGGGCGATCGGGGGTCTTTAATTACAAATAAGTGCTGAGATCTAAGCTGTCACCGGAGAAGACACGACGGCTGTAGCCAAGACCAGACCAGAAATATCTCAACTTAAAATCCAGAACCAGATCTTACCACCAGATTTAAGTCTATCAACCTCGTCCATTATGAAACATGTTTTTTTTTTTTTTATGTACTTCTGTTTTGACAGAAAACTCCAAACACTGATGAACCTCAGCCGCTGTTGCCATGGCGATGTAAACAGAAAGATGCTCAAATGAGTGAGAATCCCCGGGCACGCCATGGCAGGTTGACACCCTGGGAGCGCTACAGGCTCTGACAAGATGCTTTAAACGCAGCAGGAGCGCGTCCTCCTCTCTGTTAGTGTCGTAAAGATGCACATGTAAGTGTCTGTTTACTTCAGGGGTGGAAAATATCCCACCCAAGATAAGGTACGTTTTATTTAGCGAGGAGGAGGAGTGAGATACGCCGCCAAAATCACATAAAAGCTTATTTTCCCAAACAGTTTGTCGTAATAAAACTGAGCATGCTGGGCTCTGCACATCACAGGGGTTAGTCATTCAATATCTTCCTTCTGCAGGATTTAGAGATGATCTCTGCACATGCATGTCATGTCTGGCTTTGCACAGAGACGTGTTTTTGTGAGGCGAAAACAAACATCTTACTGTGGCATGTGACACTGTTGAGGTCAAAGGATCATAAATCCTTTATTATGTACTTATTTACAGCTAACAAAGCTCCTTTAAGCTACTGGACCTAAAGTGGGAGTATCTTAATTCATTAATCTATGAGCAACCCTTTATGCAGTCTAATTAATGTTAAAGGGTTAGTCATATTAATTTAGGGTCGAACACACCGTAACACCAAGTTAGACACCCTGTCGAGAGATGAGTGTTGCCGACCGCTTGCTTCTCGAGTTATACCAACTTTAGCTGCTGGAAGAGAGTAGGTGAGTTGTGTTTAGTCTCTTTGCTAAAGAAATGAGTCAAAGTTAAAAAGATGTTTGGTGTCTAGTACTACGGCTGTGACCCTATATGTCCTGTTGATGAAGTCAGGTGCTGTTCTGAGCATTATTTGTGGCTATAGAGTGGCGTTTTGGTTGAGTGCGTGGCTCTCTGTATTGCTATCCTGCGGTCGTTACTAAAGTTGGTATAACTAGAGAAGCAAGCGGTCGGCAACATTCATCTCTGGAGGGGGTGTCTAACTCGGTGTTACGGAGTGCTTGACCCTAAATTAATTTTACGCCGGAATATCCCTTTATTAAACACCCAATCGATGTTTATAACAGGTATATAAACTGTTAACAAGTTTCATTAGATTTCCCCTCGGGGATAAATAAAGTTATTTTTCTTTATTATACCTTTGAAGAGACTTACTCATGTTTATTAGCATCTTATAAGGTTAAGTACTCCATATGAATTACTTATTAATTACTGCTTATGGCTAGTAAGTTAATATAAAGTGTTACCTTGAATGTGTGGCCTCTTTGGTGCATAAAAATAACCTTTTAAAATTAGAGAGACATGATGGCTCAAGGATTGGCTGGCAGCAGGGTTGCCATGGCAGCAGAAATAAACAATAGCCTTGTAGGAGCATGTTTTGGCACTTTTTGTCAATGTTTGACACCACATACACAAAGATGCAATTACCACTGAAATATTATGTGGTTTTTTTTTTTAAGCTGCTGCCAAAAAAAACAGAAAATACACTTTGTAAATTTCTGCCAAATCTCTGCGGTACTTACTTCAAACAACAAATGTTTAGCCAAAGACATCCATGATAGATAGATAGATAGATAGATAGATAGATAGATAGATAGATAGACAGATAGACAGACAGACAGACAGACAGACAGACAGACAGACAGACAGACAGACAGATTTTGTTTAGGAAAGTTGTCTTTTTTACAGACTAACTTGTTTACATGCTTTTTTAAACTATTGCAATATAAGGATTTTTATTAAGTGCATGTAAACGTAAACGTACTCAGTTTCGAACCATCATCTTGTAGGATGTGACCCACTTTAGACTGCATATAGAGGCAGTGCAGCAGCAGAGCTTGAGTCCATCTCTTGCCTCCACCAGAAGCCACAGGTGGATGTTCGATGATTTCTAATGGGTCCTCCTACTTGACCCAAGTGTTCACCTCTACTTGAGATATCATATGCATGCATTTTTTAAAATTTCTGCTCATCCTTTCAGAGCGCAGTTCACTCTCCACATAAGAGCCGATCCGAGATCTCCTCTCATCTGGCCTCTTATTCGGAAACCCTCTTTCTTCCTCTTCAACAACATCTCCGTCCTCTCCTCCTCTATCTCTGAAAATAACAAGCTAAGACCGATAAGGCCGAAGTTTTTCTTCAAAGCTTTCTTCTTAAGAGCTGCACTGCGCTTTTTCAGGAGATCATACTCACTCAACCCAAATAACACGGTGCAAGAACAGAAGTTCAAGCAGGGACTAGGAATGAAGATGCGCTATTATGTCTATTACAATGTCAATGTACCATCAAACTAATTTCAGCGTCTTTATTCTGAGGTCAGATAGTTGCGTACATCAACTTTTTAGAGGCGCTGGATGGATGAAATTACTTCACTTACATTTCAACTTTATGGCCAAGGGGAATTTGGGAGGAAGAAAAACACGACATGATGAGCTTTCTTCTTTTTTTAATGTCCAACTGAAGAAAACAAAAACAACGTATGGAAATTTGTTCATGCGGAGCGAACGTCCGCCCGAGCACTTTGGTGTCCAGTTGAGCGTGGCCACATTGGATGAATTAAGTTGTTTGTAGCGGAGCACGATGTACGCATATCTCCCCATCTGTCTGCTGTTAAAAAGTGTAGCATGGACATATGTGAACTTGACCGACCGCCCTGTTTGTGTGTTCCCTTTAAAAAGAAATGAGCTGCCGGCTGATAATTGAGCGGCTAAGTGGCTGAGGACGTCCTGCAAAGTCAGCAGCAGCTCAGGAAGAGGGAAGCTGTTTGGCTCAGGGGGGGCTGCCGGCTACATTACCTCCCTCCTGCATATTAAATATTAAACATCCATCCATATTATTGTCAAGTGAGGACAAAAATGTGGACAAATTACAGGAACGGGCGATAGATCAGGCGGCCGATGTTGGATCGATATAATCCATCACTGCTGTGTTAGGAAGCAGAGAAACGTATTGTTGAAGGTGTCAAAGCCGTTAAAAAATGATGATTTCATAAGCTAAGTGAGGCAGTAACAGAGGAGTTATGGTACGTTTGAACATGTGGGGCTTATTAAACAAATAACACTCTGTTAGTTTATCAGAGATTTTGAATTACCTGCCAGGCAGCAAGAGCATCCGCTGGGGAATCTGCAGGAAACGCTATAAGTTCTGCTCCCTATAGTTTCCTGTTTGTGGATGTCTGTTTTAATGAAGCATTACTGTCCGTGCATCTGTTTCTCATGAATATCTAATATCGCATTAAAGTGAAGGGAAATCCCTCAACAGTTTTACAACCAGAGGCTCAGAACAAACAGCAGCGCCGCGTTCTGAGTGAGCATCGATTAGACGTCTGATGTGTTCTCGTGTAGTGCATCATTTATGTCCGGCTCAGACTGAGAATCGGAAAAAGGTCACGCAGATAATGGCTTAGAGTCCTGAAAACAAACATGGATCCAATAACAAACAGCACATAAAGTGCAAGTAGGTCAACTTTTGGGAGCAGACGTCCCAAACTTCTCTTACAAAACCGTTTAAGACGCCTTTTCTGACAAAAGGTGGCACACTGAAGATTTCAGATTTACATTTAGTGGCTAAAATTAGATGAGGTAAAAGCCTTTGAGCTCTTCATTTTGCCAAACTTCAAACCCTGATTTAATTTAATCGAGCATGAGAGTTAGTTGTAGTTTCAGTAAAATGTGACTAAATGTAAAGACTACAAGGTTTGTCTGTACCAAGAGATCTATTTCACTAATTTCCACCATTCATGTTGTCAGACTGGGACACCTGTAAAGTAGTTTTGCATGATTTGCAGTTTAAAAGCTCTTCATTTGTCCTGTACTGGCATCTGTTAAAACTTTCACATCATCACGACTCAGCCTACAGTTAGACACAGATTGTGGGTGTTACTTTTTACACAGCCAACTAGAAAACTCACATGAGCAGCTTTTTAAGACACACTGAATCCAGAGGAAGAAATGGAGCCAGAGGAGCCAGGTGAGCATTAGGGCTTAAACGAATTAACGGCGAGCTGATTAAATTGGCCAATTTTAGCCCGTTTGAGTCTAATCCGTAATCGGCCTAAACTCACCGATTTTCGCCGATATTTTCAGAAATAAAATGTGGAGAATAAGATTCGGTTTCACTTCAAAAATGTTCCGCCATTTGAAAAGTTGCCCAACTTATCCTGTAGATGGCGGAGCGACCTCATGACAGTCTTCATCCACTAACTACCTCACAGCACAGGAGGAGAGTGGTCCGCCTCAACGGGAAATAAACCAGTTTGTTAAATACACAATAAGTCAACAAGTTTCAGTTCAACCCACTTCACCATGTTCCCCGCTGTGCTGGTCTCGGTCATGCCGAGTTAACGGTGAAGCACCATGTAATATGCTAGCTAAAGTTAGAGTTAGCCGTCTGCTGTTAGTCTTGCTACACTGTTAGCCGTGTCAGTAACAGTAGAATAAACAACAGTACACATTAGTGATCGAGCTACTTCTCTTACTGAGGCAGCTGCATGTTTCCAGAGGAGACCGAACAGGAAATGAGTAACGTGTCTTGGGAAGTTCTGTGTATTTTCTGAAAATTCGCTTATTATGAACATCCAATATTATGATATTTTAACTGTATGCAATCAATTATGGACTATTATCATGGTCTCATTTACACTTATTTTCTTGTGCTGCTAGACCTCATAAGTTGGACCTCAAAACTTGGGACTCTATGGGGATTGACTTGCTTTTGGAGGCAGCCTCTAGTGGACAGTCAGAGAACTACAGTTTCTGGCACATTTGCTTTTCTCTCCACGAGATTACTGATGTGATATATAATTTATATCTCTTGTTAAGCTATTTTGTTAATGCATTCTCATAATAAGTGACTCTACAACTAATGTAATATAATTAACAATGACAAAGACTTTCATTATAGCACATTTCTTTCCCCACGAGATCCATAAAATGAATAAGTGAGTCTTTGTTTGGTTAAAGCACAACTTTAAGCTATTGTTCAGGGTGTGTAATTACGCTAATTTAAATAATTGTCTAGGTGGGATGTATCGATTGTAGCCGGGCGACCGATCTTTCAAAGCGTTTTAATTAACTCGTGCTGAAAAATTCTACCTCCCTGAGAAGGCAGGCAGAGATGACTGGAAGAAAAAGCTTTTAAAAACCACGCCATGACATAATAATCCATACCATAATTACCGAAACAGGAAAATCAATGTCTGTAATGCTCTGAATAGAAGAAGTGAAATAAGGTGTTATGCTAAAGGAGGATTCTTGTTTGCTGTTGGCCGTTCCTTTAAAATATCCTCGTCTACAGAGAGCAGCACAAACAAGGTGAACAAAGAGGTCAATCAATTCATCGACATTGTTAGTCTATAGAGCGGGGCACTAGGACCATTGGGAGAACAGTCAGGGTGTAGTTAATTTGAAAGTATGGACATAAGTTTGAATTATTTTATATATATTCATCTTTATATCTGCGATCACAGCAGAACTCTGAATTAATGTGGCAGCACTCAACATTTTCCATGGAGATCATCTGTTTATTCACCTCCAGGCAAGGATGTTTAAATCTATAACTGTGTTTGAAAGTAAAAATATGACTGAACTTAAAGAACTTTATATTTATTTATGTTAACTCTTCACCCTGCTCTCTCTTTCCCTGCCTGTCTGTTTGAGTGAAACACAGCAATCGTAATTATCTTAATTAACACTCCGCGCCCTAACGTCTTGGTTACAGCGCAAGAGTATAAGGCTGAAACATGTAAGTGCATAAGAGAAGCATGTATTTGTATTTAAAGAATAAAAAGGTAATGGCTCAATATTCACTGATACAGGGAGAGTAATTAAGGTAAGAGTCCATAACACTGATATGCTGACGGAAAGAAAAGAAAAGAAATTCTATCTTTAATGAGCTTCATCCAACTTATGTGAATATTTACACTTCAGGTTTTCTGAAGCAAAAATAACACATACATACAGTCATACACATGTATTATTAATAAGAAACAAGAAAAAAGGTGCATAAAAATACCTGAAAATGCAAAAAAAAGAAAGGAAAGACTTGTAGCTGTTTTAACTATAATGAATATGTTAGCTTTATCTAGTGTGCTGAATTAATTGGCTACAATTTTAACTAATTTAACTCAACTCAACCAAGCCTAAACTAAATCAAACTAAAATAAACTAATTTAAAATAAACAAGTGTTAACTAAGCTAAACTGAACTAATGTAAACTAAATTGAACTAAAGTAAACTTATGTAAACTAAACTAAACTAAACCAAACCAAACTTAAACAAACCAAAACAGACTAAACTAAACTCAATTAACGTAACTAAACTTAACTGAACTGAACTCATGTAAATTAATCTGAACTAAACTTCACTGAACCAAATCAAACTAAACCAAACTAAACTAAACCTAACTGAACCAAACTGAACCAAACCAAATTTAACTAAACTTCCCTGAACAAAATCAAACTAAACTAAACTTTACTAAACTAAACATAACTGAACCAAACTTAACCATACTAAACTGAACTAATTTTAACCAAAATTTAACTAAACCTTAGTAAACTAAACTAAACCAAACCAAACTTAACCAAACCCAATCCAACTGAACCAGACTAAACTAAACTAAACTAAATCTAACTGAACCTAACTTAACCAAACCAAACCGTACTAAACTGAACTAATTTTAACTGAAATTTAACTAAACTAAACTAAACCAAACCAAACTTAACCAAACCCAATCTAACTGAACCAGACTAAACTAAACCAAACATTTTGTAATTTATTTAAAAAAATGTCTTTTTTGCCAGATTGTCCTTCCTCTTATTGTACGGTTCGTCAAATTTCTGTGCCTAGCTGTGTTTGAAAGCCTCTCTGTTAGAGGAAGTCCTGCTGAGGAGTTAGATGAGGTACCTGTGTTTGATTTTATGTCAACATTACTTCAGATTCCATCGAATGACGGGAAAATACTGTAATAAACTCCGGATGTTGACTGAACCTCGACATCTCTGTGATTATCTTAAAGAGTCCAATTTGAACTTTAAGATTGTAAAAATAGTAGATGGTAGAAAATTGGAGCCAGGTTGTAGTTATCCTTCGATTTTCTTCGACTATTTTCTCTGGAGTCTGTATGAGTCATGAACGAGGAGCTGCTGCTCAGGCTGCTGTAATTGTCCTCTTTTCCTTTCTAACCTAAATGAGCCCGGCAGTGTGATGCTGTTTTTCTGTAAAACGGCCTTTGTGTCCAGAGACTTGTGTTCAACCATGTGTGTTCATGTGTGTCTGAGCTTACACCTGTGCGTTGG